GAAAACAACGCAGACATCTGGTGATTTGGGCCTTGATCTGGGCCCTGCTTGGTGCTGTTTCCTGTGGCCTTTCTGCCGGTCTGGCACCTGAATGTGTCGACCCGGTTCCACGAAGGAGACGGGAGCATTGGAGAACACGTTGGTTGGATTGGGCTGGAAATAAACGTGGGATGTGTATATGATGTATCATTATATATATATACATGATACAGTTATACATACATATAATATATATATATATCATATATATATATATATCATATATCATATATGGGGGCTTTAACATGAGTTAAGTCAGAAACATGGTGACGGATTCAATGGTGTTTTAACGATATATATCTAGATGAATTATTGATAACCTCACAGTGATGTCATTGGAATGATGGTTAATGAGGCAAATCATCCCCAAATCGCCTTATTGCAGCTGTTTTCAGACTAGTCAATGATTGTAAGTTAGACCGATATAGGTGTTTCTATAGGATATATGTGTATATATATATATAATCAAAGAAAAATGTTATATAATGGGTTTATGGCCAATCGATACGGGTTGGAATCTGCTTGGTACTCTGGAGAAGGTTCCTTACTTTTGTGGTGTTGCCTTGACAGAACTTTGGCATGAGGACTTGAATTGACTCGTATTTCTTGAAGGGTGCTTTGATGCTTTCATCCTTTGCCATGAAAATGCTGAGATATACAAATTGGCTAAAAAGCTAAAAGATTGCTCTTTTGCAGAGTATCTACGGAATGGACTTGATGTGTATGCTCAACTGGACTCTTCCGGTGATTTTTGGAATACTATTATGTGCGCCCATGCTTTGGTCTATGCCTGAACCACAATGTGGAGGTGTTTGTTGCAATGACTTACTCTTACAAAGATCTCCTTTCCAAAGCACGTCGGTTTGTCTGAAAACTTAGGGGCAGACCCCAAATCCGGGGATGTATCATCATTTTTGCAGAATTACCATGTTGGGGTACCCCATTTTCGGACAACCCACTATCGAAGGACTACTTCACACCAATTGTGCCATCAGAAGTGGCATCTGGGCAATTTTACCTGTGACACCTATTGCTGTGGTTCCCCTACTGTCGAATCCAGTGGAGATGTATGTGCTGTATGCGACCACCTTGGAAATTGCCAAATGCGCCCTTGTGCCGCAGCTGGTAGTCGCCTGGAATATGTCTTCGAAAGGATTGGCCAGTCCATTGGATCCCTAGATTTACTGAGTCGGTGATGTGTAAATTTTCCCAGGTAAATCCATTGAATTTGGGGAGTCACCAGGAAACTATGGTTTATTTTTTGGGACCATCTTAACCGAATATCAGGATTTGTTGCAGTCTGGCTAGGGATCGTGCTGGTCCTCCTCTTCTCTCGTGCAGCTTTGAGAGCAAACGGAGCCGAGAGACTGATGCTCTTGAAGAGTACCTCTGCCTTTGTCCTGGTCGTGTTCTTCATGCTGGTGCTCTTTGGGGTCTATCTATACACTGATTGCCACAATGAGTTTCGAGGTATTGCAGATGTGTTGTTAGTGACTGGGTGATTGTTTCATGCATGTTTTTTGCTAGAAACCCATAGAAATGGGCCGATGATCCTCAGTGACTTTTGGATTCGGATGTTTTTTTTGTTGGGTAGTCCAACAGTCCAACAGCCAGGCCGTGGGTTTCTTTTGCGTGTTGAGTTCTTTCCAACTGTTCGTTCGTGCCTTCTTCATACATTTCGCGATTCCGAAGTTGGATGGGCTCTTGGATATGGTGGCGGAAGCGGGAAACTGCAGGGACCAGCGGAACCTGTTGATCCTGGAAGTTCGAGAAGATGCTGGGTTGGTTTTCGTATGTTTTTGTGATGTTGATGGTGGTGAAGTTGATTTATTGGGTTGGGGGTTAAGGTTGTTCTTCCTTTTATGCTCCATGCTCTCTGTTCCGTCTCTGTCCATCCCTGTCATATCCCCCTTGTAATATCCTTTATAGAATGTAGCAACCCGGATGCTAATTTTCGGGTGATTGTATCAGACCCACCTGAAAAAATATGGACCACTTTTGGTGGTTTCCTCATATAATGTGAAAACTCAAAATTTGCGACTTCCATTTCAGATGCCTTCTTTTTATATAAGCGTTTTTAGGGGATTGTAAAATGATTATATAATCCGTGTCAATCGAAAGAAACTCAACCGGGTCACCTTATTACTAATTTTTGACATTTTTTCTTGTTATAAAATGATGGTCCATCCTTCAACTGTTTACATTGGGATGGTATGCAATGTGGAATTGTATTTCATAAGAATTTGGAGCAGGTACCTCTTGCTTGATCTTATGAAACGGTAATCAACTTGACTCTGTGAAGTGTGCATGAACACAAGCTTTTCTACAGCTGCTCTTCCACCCAACCAAGCTGCCAAAGCAGCAAATCTGCAGCTGCACTTGAGCAAGAAAAACCAACATAAGCAGCATGCTCTAACACTAATAGCATCATGCCACACACTCACAGCAAACACAAGGCAGGGGGGGACAGTATTAAGTTGGGTTGGTCAGGCGCACTTGAATCAAGTTGTCATGTTATAAGATGTTTAAAGTTTAAATTACCATTATTTGCAAGAACATCTTATTTGCACATACTTGCACTTAAGTTGATTTGTCACTTTTAAGCGTACCATGTTGGTTTATGCGTGGTTTTGGTCGTTCGAAAATTGCGGTCTTACCTGCAAAAAATGAGAAAAATGTACCAAAAAAAGGGGGTTGGATGTGTGTTGTTCTTATGAAATGACCCGGTGTCTCTGGTATGCTCGGGTTATAAAATGAAACATATGTTGTGGGACCCGGGGCCCTTTGATTTATAAAGTTGTTTGGTCCCAACAAAGTATATATTTGTTTATTTATTTATAAAATGTCAACACCATCTTTGAACCTAGGGGCAGGAAACTTTGGCACTATATAAGCCAGTTTATCATTAAAAAACAGAAGGATCTCACATTTTGTAACTCTTGGAATTCTCATTTTGTCAAAGTGGCATGTTTCTAACTATTATTTTATATGCACGGTTATCATTTTACCAAGGGGTTTCCTTATAAAATGCCGGTTCCAGGCAACCTGGGGGGATCCTGGGATGAGCAGGAGACCTTGCGAAGCTTTTGGGAGCAGCAACTCCAACAAGATCCGGCATATGTCCGGAACGTCCAGCTGAGTTGCCCGTGGCTGACCTACTGTTCATGGGTCCTGTTGCCAGTGATTCCCTTGTTGTTCATCTATGCCTATGGTGCAAGGGTCAGCCTGTTCCTGGGCGCGCTTTGGCTCCGACTCTGTGTCTTTATTGCTCACTTCTACCTCTTGATGCTTCCCAGAGTTCAGAAGTGGTTCCACCAGCAACGTGTGAAAAAGCAACTGGCTAACGTGCCGCCACAACTCTCGGTGGTTCTTTTCCACAACAACAAAGCTGAAAGCAAAGTGATTTCAAACGCGATGACATGAAGTTTCATGAGCAAAACTTGTGAATTGTTTCTTTGGGATTCTTTTGATTTCAGCATGCGTCCGCAAAGATTTGAGATGATGTGAGTGTGAGTGTGTGTGTGTGAAAGGCGGAAAAAGATTTCCCTTCAGCTGCAGCTATGTGAATGTATAGGTGCAAGCTGTCTATCAAGTGCGTGTTTGTGTGTAGATACAGTATGTACAGCTATCAAGTATGGCTAATTGCAGCAGTGTATGTATGTGGGGAATGATGATAAAAACAAGGCAAGTGTTAGTTCAATGCACAGTTCCATGTCATCGTTTGCCCCTGCTCAACAGCACAGGTCTTGACCAGCCTGCCCCGCTCAATGACCTCAAGCTAATGTCGGCAGCATTCTTTTCAGAGACCAATGTCCTTCTTCAACATAGTCCGGGCAATGGAGATAGGATGTTTACAAGTGTCATCACTCGCAGCAGTATTTTGCAGAACAACAACAGCTGGCAGCTGTGCTTTGCGAGGTCCTTTCGACAATCAACACAGACTCTGCTTCAGACAGCTAGGACCGAGGTGGAAGGGATGCATTTCTTCCCCTTGGAAGAACAGGATGTGCAGCGGGCACGCGCATGGCTGCCAGCCACGAAGTGTTCCACTTTGAAGAAGGTGACGCACGAGGAAGTGCAGAGCAATGACGCAGAATTGGCAGCAATATCCAGCAACCTTCATGTTGGTGATCGTGCTGGGATCGTTTCATCATGTCGCAGTCCAAAGGTCTGCGCGATAAAATCAGTTGGCGTCCTTCTGTAGGATTTGCCACGGAAAATGGATTGTGAGATCCAGGTTTTCTTGTGACATGTCTCAAAAGCATTTCCCATATTTCCTATGGAGTTTGGGCTTGCAGTGATCATAAACTTATATTGTGCCATGGTCCCATTGTCAGGTCACATATATCTTCCCATAAAAGCGGATGGTCATCCGGTCATCCGGTCATCCCCTCTGGTAGGGGTAGAAAAAAAGGGGTTGATATAGCCATGGGGAAGTCCATAGAGGGATGGCCTGGGTGAACAGCCAAGGATGGTGAAGCAGCTGGGAACCCAGAGGGGGAAAGCTGACGTGAGATATTTTGTGGTGTTAGCAGGATCTTAAGCTGGATTGTAGGATCTTAATTTCTGGTGTGCTCACTGCTTCATTTCTTTGTCCCAGATTCAACCACTGATTCAGGTGGATATCCCTCCCTCCCTGGAGGGTGTGATCATTCTGAACATTCCCAGCTTTGGTGGAGGTGGGGATCAGCTTTTCTTGTGAATTTCGATAAACTCTGCGAAGTTTATGGGATGCACTAGCCTTTGGTGAGAAATGTGAGGATGGAAAATCTCCATGTTCACCCAGAACATCTGCTATACGCGGTGTTTTTCCCTTGCCAGAACAGATTAGCAAAGCACAGCAGATTAGAGCAGCTCACAGAACCAATCTGATCGAATGAACAGGATTTAGGCTATCCATTTCCGCCATCCCCCTCCCCTATCAAGACCGGATAGCAAGCGAGGTACTGATCTATGGGGCAGAGCTGAAGATGAAGAAAACGAGCAGTATGACTGGGTTTGGGGTTGATTGGAAGGATTTCATTGGAGATGATTGCTCACTCACAGAATATGATATGTCTTCAAGCTACACCTACATTTGCCGTTTGGGATTGAAAGGAATTTCTGCTGTTGGGATCAAGCTGGTGTGGACTGTGGACTGAAGAGGGGTTCATTGAGAATTCCAGGGAGCACAAAGATGTCATTCATCATTCTTGCCATCGTACAGCCAGCTGTCCAGCTGTGGAATTAAGCATTACAGTTACAGGACAGTGATTCCGACAGCACTGCTCCGTCAGTTTCCTCGGCTGCTTGGTGAAACTGACCTCTGAGGAAGGGGCTGGAGATTGGGGCTGAAGGATAAAGGAGTGATGCGATGTAAATGTGCAAAAATCTGCGATTTGACATCCCACCTTGGATAGTGATCCAAAATGAGTATATATACATGGGAAAAAATCATATATATATATACATATATATATATAGATTAGATAGATTTGATTAGATAGATTTGATTAGATAGGATAAGATAGGATCAGATAGGATCAGATAGGATCAGATAGAATAAGGTAGGATAAGGTAGGATAAGATAGGATAAGATAGGAAAAGATAGGAAAAGATAGGAAAAGATAGGATAAGATAGGATAAGATAGGATAAGTTAGGATAAGATAGGATTAGATAGATTAGATTAGATTAGATTAGATAGATAGATACAGATTTCTATATGTGATCTTTGGGGATTGGTTTAAAAACCACCAGCCGTTCCAAGCTTTGGTTGGAATCGGACCTGGACGTTGGGCACGGCGACGAGGTGGCCAGCTGTGGCAGACCGTGCTGCGGCCGAAGGCAGTCGATGCAGGATGGCCAGCTGGAAGTGGTGGGTGTTCACGGTGCACTTCAACTTGGTGCAAGTCAGGCACGGGCGCAGAGTTGCAGTCAGAGTTGCAATCGTTATGCTTCCTAAAGACCTTATTGGTTTTTTTGTTGTTTCTTTCATCCAAGAGCTGTGATTTGCATTGTGAAATCCCTGAAGTTCCTGTTTGAGTCTATTAGATACAATCTGTTTATGATGAGTTGTTTCTTTCCGAAACATCACCAACAGAGCCGCCATGAGTTCGGTCATTGTGCGGCAGAGAATGCACTATATATGATTATATGACACAAGGATCTGCGTGCTCAGCGACTTTGTCAATTCATGTCAGAGCATTTTAGATTCGGGACAGTTTAGCTACAACATCTAATCCATTAGATTAGATGAGACTAGATTCTGATGAGGTATGATAGTAAGAGGTAGGATAGGACAGGATTGGATGCGGCCAGGTGGGGCTGTACAAGGCCCAACGTTTGGCTCAAGGACTGATATGGGACAGCTGGAGGTCGATCCGATTTGGGATCTACGGGGGGTTCTTCAAATGGGAGATACCTCCAAGTGGCACTTTTGTATAGTGACAATGATGATAAACCATTGGATTTTAAGGGGACTTTAGTCAGAGATGAATATTTTGTACAAAGATTCGCTGCAGTGGTGGTTGTTTGCAGTTTTCTATAGTTTTCTACTGCCGGACGGAAACGGAAATTGGCAAATTCTGTCAACTTGGCCTGCTGATCACTTTAATGGAGTCAGTTGAATGTGGAAGATCTCATGTGGCCCTCGAGACGTGAGAGGATCCAGTGTGAAAGTGACCAACAAGGCGCTGGGACGTGTGTTGTGTTGGATAGCCTTTGGTTGGGATCAGCTTGACTTGGTTAGCTGCATGCAGTATTCCCATGCATTCCCTACGTTTCCATCTTCACAAAATGCTCAACAGCCAGAGAGAACAGTTTTCTGCGTATGGTTTCCATCGCATTGTTACTGGCCCCACAGGTCACATTACCTATGGAAGTAGACGGGGAGCCAAGTTGGTTTGCCAAGGACGGACGGCGAGTGGATCAGCTGGCTCCGCTGTTCAATAATTGTTGCACTTGAGAAATGCACCGTCAGGACGGCGTCATCGAAATCACTCACCGGGGGCAGGCAGGGTGTTGCACCTGAGTTGCTTGAAGCGACATGTCACCACTCCTCAAGGTCACAATATTTCACAATAGAAAGATATAGAAAGGTGGGAGTTTGAAAAATGCCTTTTGGAATGGGCCAGAACCCATGACTTCACACTTCGAGGACAAGAGAACTGTGATGAAATATGATGAGCATGAGCCATGTTCAGCCCTGAACTATGGGAAATTTATCAGAAGCATATTGAATAAGGATCAACCATGTTGAATCATGACAGGCCACTCCAAACACGCCACACTTGGCACAGTGTGAGGCTTTCATGCTGGTGAACAGCAAGGAGACTTCTCATGCGGTTGCTACAGATGTGGTCGACTGGGCCCTTCAGCAGAAGATCATCGATGTGAACCAAAGGCGCCATGAGCCCTTGGAATGGAAGGTGGATAGCATGATTGTACAATATCGATGTTGTACCACAGCAATTAATAATCCTCATAATGTCCTCTAAATGCATAGTATGTATAATACATACATGAATACATGAATATGTAGATAGGTGGATGGATGGATGGATGAATGATTCATGGATGGATGGATGGATGGACGGACGGACGGACGGACGGATGGATGGATGGATAGGTACATACATACATTAATGATGTACAGTGTTTGTATATTATATATATATATATTACATGTATCATCATATATCATAAATCATAATGTATCATAATGTATTCATCATGTATCATGCTGTGTATCATGCTATATCTACGTATGTATACTTGGCTACAGATCCAGGCTGATCCCAGCTGCCCGAAGGCACCGAATGCTGAAGGAGATTGCACAGAGGGCAGGTGCCAGAGACTGGGCACTTGGGGCACTTGGGGCCACCGGTGCCACCAATCCATGGACAATGGGTGTAAGTCACGGTGTAAGCGCATGGACTCTGAATGTTGCAAGGCTGGGGTAGCAGCTGCATCTCCAAATATCTTGGGAGTTCTTTAGATGTACATGATTATCATGATTTTGCATCCTGCACGACGGTGGGAATCCACCAAGCGATTGTCGAATGAAGCCATTACAGAAAATATGTCATTGTACAAGATTGTGTTCTGAAAGGAAACAACGCAGTAACAGAATCTTACTTTGTATCTAAAGGGAGACGAATCCAAACCCTTCCTTCGCATCAGCGTCAGTCTATATTACATACGAGCCATGCAGATGTATAAGTAGTGTAGCTCGCCCTTCTTGCAATCCTACAATCCACGCCCTTTCAGCACCTCTTGACCCATGAGACTCCACAAGATACACTGGATCTATGAGCTGCCATTGTTGGGTTTGACTGTGGTTGGATCCATAAGTCGCATATGACTTCAGTGGCAGAACCAGCCCCCCAGCTCTAAGGAAAACTCAATTCCTGGACTCGCTTGTCTCCACCTGACTGAGCCGAAAATGGCAGAAGTTGGGTGCCTTCATTGCTTTGCCTGAGCAAAGCTGTACAGCCAGTGGGCATAGAAAATTGGGGATCCCAAAAGATGTCCAACTTGATTTTTTTGGAGAGGGTGCTGAGAATATATCGTCTTGGGAGCCCCCAATTTTCGGGTTAGTTTTCATCAGCACAAGCATTCAAATGAACTCCTCAGCAAAAGCTTTAGAGAGAACAGTTTGCGTGCTGTGGAGAGAGCAAAATGGTGTGACGCGACAGGGGCCCTTTGCCGAATGATATGGGGATTTGTCACCCGGGAACCAACAACTGTGAGATAATAGGCCGATTTCACCAACAAATATATGCGATGATCATGCGCTTTGCTTTCAAGAATTGAGGAGTTGATGATAGTTGATATAAGGCTTTTCCACTACCACATACAGATATTTGATAATATTTGTTTTTTCAAACCACCCATTTTTGTGGGACGGAAGTGATTTGACCCATCTCCACGTTATTCCACGCGTCTACTCCACATCCCTGAGGACACAGTCTCACCTGAAGAAGCTTGTTCAACGATTTCCGTTTGGGCCACAGTGGCTATTTGCCAGTGCTTTCCTGGTCAGGTTGGGTTCCCCAAAGGCTTCCAATCCATTACCCCAAGTGGTGGCATGCCAACTAAAAGCACCAAACCTTCATTCCTGATGTGCCCTCTTTACCAATACTGTAAGTGTGTACATCTGTGGTGTCCCTTCAAAATCCCCATTGAGTGTAGGTACAGATTGCTTAGACAGTGTCAAGGCTTGATGTACTGCTTGAGTTCCTCATATATCTGATATCTAACTGTTAGAGAACATCAACATGTGC